GTATCATTGGCAAATGTGTTCTGCCACTCAATGGATTGTCTTTTTATTTTGTTGATGGTTTTCTTTGTTGCATGAGAAATTAGTTTGATATAGCCTCATTTGTTGATTTTTTTCCATTTTCCTTTAGTGAGAAGATATATCTGAAAAATTATTGCTATAAAAATGTTCAATATTTTATTGCCTAACCTGGCCAGGAAGCTCAGTTAGAGCATCATCTCAAATACACAGAGTTTGTAGGTTGATCTCTGCTCAGGGTACACATAAGAATCAACCAGTGAAGGCATAAATAAGTGAAACAACATATTGATAGTTTTCTTTCTCTCCTTCCCTCTCTCTCTAAAATAAAAAAGGGATTTCACTAGCAATGTTTTCCTTTGAGATTTTTATTGTTTGGAGTCTTACATTTTAGTCATTAACTCATTTGGGGTTTATTCTTCCATATGGTGTAAGAAGGGCATCTAGTTTTATTGTTTTGCTCATATCTGTTCAATTTTCCCAAGACCATTTATTGAATAAACTGTCTTTACCTTATTGTATGGTTTTGTCTTGTCTATAAAAATGAAGATTTATTTCTGGGTTCTCTATTCTGATTCATTGACCTTTATATATGTTTTTTTAAGTATATTTTATTGATTATGCTATTACAGTTGTCCCATTTTGCCCCCTTCACTCCCCTCCATCCTGCACACCCTCTCGTTCCCACATTGCCCCCCTTTAGTTCATGTCCATGTGTCATACTTATAAGTTCTTGGCTTCTACATTTCCCATACTATTCTTACCCTCTCCCTGCCTATTTTCTACCTACCATCTATGCTACTTATTCTCTATACCTTTTCCCCCTTTCTCCTCCTCCCACACCCCTATTGATAACCCTTCATGTCTTCTCCACTTTTGTGATTCTGTTCCTGTTATAGTTGTTTGCTTCATTTTCATTTTTGTTTTAGGTGTGGTTGTTAATAATTGTGAGTTCGCTGTCATTTTACTATGCATTTTTTTATCTTCTTTTTCTTAGATAAATCCCTTTAACATTTCATATAATAAGGCCTTGGTGATGATGAACTCCTTGAATTTGATCTTATCTGAGAAGCACTTTATCTGTCCTTCCATTCTAAATGAAAGCTTTGCTGGATACAGCGATCTTGGTTGTAGGTCTTTGGATTTCATGACTTGGAATACTTCTTTTTAGCCCCTTCTTGCCTGTAAGGTCTCTTTTGAGAAATCAGCTGACAGTCTGATGAGAACTCCTTTGTAGGTGACTTCCCCTTATCTCTTGCTGCTTCTAGAATTCTCTCCTTCATTTTAATCTTGGGTAATGTAATTATGATGTGCCTTGGTGTGATCCTTCTTGGGTCCACCCTCTTTGGAACTCTCTGAGCTTCCTGGATTTCCTGGAAGTCTATTTCCTTTGCCAGAATGGGAAAGTTCTCCTTTATTATTTGTTCGCATAACTTTTCCACTTGTTGCTCTTCCTCTTCCCCTACTGGTACCCCTATAATTCAGATGTTGGGACCTTTAAAGATGTCCTGGAGGTTCCTAAGACTCTCCTCATTTTTTTTGAATTCTGATTTCTTTATTCTTGTTGGTTTGGATGTTTCTTTCTTCCTTCTCATCCACTCCATTGATTTGAATTTCAGTTTCCTTTCCATCACTATTGGTCCCCTGTGCATTTTGCTTCATTTCACTTAGTGTAGCCTTTATTTTTCATCTACTTTGAGACCAAATTAAACCAATTCTATGAGCATCCTGATCACCAGTGTTTTGAACTGTGCATCTGATAGGTTGGCTATCTGTTCATCACTTAGTTGTATTTTTTCTGGAGCTCTGATCTGTTCTTTTGTTTGGGCCATTTTTTTTTCTTGAGACACCTGTCATGTAATGAGGGGTAGAGCCTTAGGTATTCACCAGGGCAGGGCAACCCAGTCATTGGGTTGTGATGCTGTATGTGGGACAGGGGTCTGAGAGGGAACAATGGCATTTGCTCTGCTCTCTGCCAGATTTCAATCACTTCCCATAAGCAAACTGGGCTCTTCTGGCACTGATTTCTGTGTGGTGGGTTTGTGTACATCCTGGGATCCTGTGGGTCTGTCCAACAAACTCTCCTGTAAGGTTGGGAGTCTCTACAAGCACTTCAACCCCCACAGGTATTTTCAGTTGGTGTTTTGAGGCTTTATTTCCTGGCGCTGGGACCCTGAGTTGCATGGTCTTTCTCAGTGCCCTGTTTTGCCTCATTTATCTGTGTGTAAATGTGGGACTAACTGGCCCACCAACCACCTTACACACCGCACCTTGCTGGGTCCTCCAGCTGCAGCTTTGCATGCCTGTGGTTTCCCAGCCACCTTGCTGAGAGCCCTCTCCCTTCCAGCTCCCCGACTCTTCCTCTTTTACCAGTCTGGATGCATGTGTCTACTTTAATGCCTTGGCTGTTGGACTTCCATACAGTTCAATTTTCTGTCAGTACTGTTTTTTTGTTTGTTTGTTTTTAAATTTTTGTTGTTCTTATTTCGGTTGTGCAAGGAGGCACAATCTGTCTACCTACACCTCCATCTTGGCTGGAAGTCTATGTATGTGTATATATCAGTACCATGCTATTTTGATTACTATGACAATATAGTATATTTTGATATCAGGTAGCTTGATTTCTCCAGCTTTGTTCTCCTTTCTCAATATTATTGTGGTTATTTGGGTTATTTGTGGTTCTATATAAACCAGTCTGTATGTACCTTTCATTCTAAGTTAGGTCTCATAGATAGAAGATATATAGGTCTTGATTTTTTATCCATTTAAGCTACCCTATATCTTTTGAATGGAGTGCTTAAGCCATATACATTTAAAGTGATTATTGATAAACATGTATTTGATACCATTTTATTCTTTGTAACTATATTTTTCTTCTTCTTCTGGTTCTTCCTTCTTTCTTCCTTCTTCTTCTTCTTGTTCTTGTTCTTGTTCTTCTTCTTCTTCTTGTTCTTTTTCTTGTTCTTGTTCTTCTTTTCTTCTTCTTCAAGAAGGTCCTTTAACATTTCTGTAATACTGGTTCAGTGGTAATGAACTGCTTTAGCTTTTTCTTATCTGGATATTATTTATTTCTCCTTCAATTTTAAGTGATAACCTTGCTGGGCAAAGTCATCTTGGTTGTAGGCTCTTATTTTTCATCATTTGTAATATTTCATGTCAATCTCTTTCTGTTGAGAAATCAGCTAATGGCCTTACCGGAGCTTCCTTGCAGGTAACTGATTGTTGTTCTCTTGCTGCTTTTAAGATTCTCTTTTTGTCTTTAACCATTACCATTTTAATTATGATGTGACTAGGCTTATTTGCATTGAACTTGTTTGGGACTCTGTGCTTTCTGGACTTGTACTTCTATTTTCTTTACCAAGTAATAGAAATTTCTCATCATTGTTTCTTCATTTTTTGGATTTTCTTGCTTTTCTGATCAGGTGTTTTCTGCTTTCTTATCTTCCCAATCACTGATTTGATGTCCGATTTCATCTGCTCTGCTTTTGGTTGCCTGTAATGTGCTCTTTTTTATTTCAGTTAGTGTATTTTTAATTTTGGAATGGCTTTTTATGGTTTGCATGTCTACTTTATGCTGTTGAAGGATTCACTCAATTCCTTGAGCTTCCTTATGATAATTTTCTGGAACTCTATTTGGTAATTTGCTTGCTTTCATTTCATATACTTTTTTTTTCCTGGAGATTTCTCCTGTTCTTTCATTTGGGCATGTTTTTTGTCTCCCCAGTTTGATTGCCTCTTTGTCTTTGTTTCTCTGTATTAGGTACACCTTCTATGTCACCCTGTCTTGGTTGGTTGGTCTTATGTAGTAGGTGTCCTGTGGGACCCTGTGGCACAGTCTCCTCATCTGACCTGGGAGCTCAGGATTGTCCCTTGTGTGGATTATATATGGGTCCTCCCATTGTAATTGAGTTTTGATTGCTATTGGTTCGTTTGCATGAGGGTCTCAACTCCCAGGCTGGCTGACTGTGAGAAATGATGTAGACCAGAGTGTACCATCTGCTGGGTGCTAATCACCTGAAGCAGAATTCAACTCAGCTTGGTCTGGTGCCTTCCAAGATCTTCCTTTGCATATGCCACTGTTGAAGCTAATTGGATCCTACTCTGACAGTGTCTTTAGCCAGCCATTGAGTATGTTGATTCTAGGGCCTCTTCACAGGTGCAGAAAAATGTCAGATGCTGCCTGTGACTGACCCTGGGAAACCATTTTGGTGCTATAAAGTGATACACAGTTTGTTGCTGCTTCTGTTGGGTTCGTATGTGCCATGGAAGAACAAAGCTGTACACCAGGGCTAACTCCCACCAGTTATGAGCTGAGGGCAGGTCATCAAAAATCCCAAGGCACACAGAAATCTGCCTCCCTTACCTCTGACTGCCAGTTGCTTGTTAGGCCCTGTCACTGAAATAGCCTATGGCAGTACTCCAGTAGCATGAGGTAAGGTCTCAGTGAGTCATTATGTAGGGGTGAGTGGTATTGCTACTTGTTACAAGTTCAAACTCAGTGCCAGTACTGGGTCTGAGACAACTCATCAAATGTTCCAGGGCATATCAAGTCTAGTTGCTACTACTGTGTGCTCACAGATGTTTGTGGTGGGGTAAAATCTTGGGGAATCATCAGAGTGAGGCCAGCAGAGTTTATCAGGCCCAAACAGACCAAGATTTATGTGTGTGAAAGGAAGGGCTCTGCATTAGTGTACCAGGGAAAAATATTCACTGTCCTAGAGTTACACAACTCTATTCTGTCCCAGATTCTGCCCAGACCTGAAGAGCCGAAGCTCAGCAGAGTAGGACCACAAGGATTTGGGAAGTTAGGGCTAGTGGATCTCTTGTGAAGAAGAGGTTTTGACAACACTCGCAGAAATGTATTTTGGGGAGAGGTATAGCCCTGCCCCTAGAGCCAGAAAACCCACTCACTGAGTTTTCCCAGAAACTGGCTCTAGGTGGTGACCTCTACAACCTGGCCCAAGCAGGTGACTCTTCAGGAGGTGATGAGTTCTGCAGGGTGGAGCTATTGCATTCCCCAGACTTATGCTGTAAGGAGGGGAGTGCTCCACCCAAGAAAAATGTTATCTGTGGTGTTTGAGTGTTACTCAGCATGAGGATGCTGGTGGCTGTGCCTATAGCTCTCTCCCTGGAGCCACAAACCACAGTCTTTTGTCATATGACTTGAGTCCACTCTATTCTTTCTATGCTGGAGCCCATGGTGAGTGGCTGTGAATGACATCTTGTGTGTTGGTCTTTCAAGAGGGTGCCTGTGTCTCTAGCAGGCTCCTACTTTTCCCTGGTGGACAGAACTCACATTGATTATCAGAGCAGATGTTATACAGGTGCTTCTTCCATGCTCTGGCTCTCTGGGCTGGGGAGAATGGCATGGGGTTGAGATTCTGCATTTGTCAGGGGGAACCTTTGCAGATCAGATATCTGTTTGGAATCTCAGTTATCTCCTCTGAAGTGAGGCCAGCCACTTTCATGTCTTCTACTCTTCCTACTAGTCTCAATGGGGCTTCTATAAATCCTTGATTATAAGGCTTCTCTTCAGCTAGTCTTCAGTTGTTTTTCCAGATTGGTCTTTATTTTAGTTGTGATTTTTGTTTGGTCTTTGGAGGAAGTCATGTAACTTTCATTTACTCCACCACTATCTTGGATTTTTCTCTCTGTACCACATTTGGAACTGTCATTGTTTTTCATTAAGCCATTCTGAAATATTCAAATATAATGTCATCTGATTGTGGTTTTAATTTGCATCTAACTAATAATGTTGATATGTTTTCAGTTTTGTATATGCCACTTTTTTTCAATAAAATGTTTTCTCATATCTTTGCTTATTTTCTAAGTTTATTGTTTGTTTTTTTATCTTTGGCTTTTGAGAGTAAATATGTTCTCAAAATATATTGGTAAAATATTCTCAATATTTTTTTTGTTTTATGTTGTTTGTAAATATTTTCTTTTAGATCATAGATCACTATTTTTCCTAACAGAATTTTTGGCATGTCAAATTTCAGGTCAAGGTGGAAGCAAGGTTGGTTTATTCCGAGGCCTCTCTCTTTGATTTATCGGTAGACATCCTCTCCTTGTGTCTTCACATGGTTTCTCCTCTGTTCTCAGTGGTGTCTCTCTGTGGGCCCATATTTTCTCTTCCTGTAATAACATGAGTCAGATTGCATTTGGGCCTATTCTAAAAACCTCCTTTTAAAATTTTAATCACTTTATTAAAGGCCATATATTCCATTATAATCAAATTATGAGGTACTGAGGATTAAGACTTCCACATATAAAATTTTAGGTATTGACAATTCAGCATGTAACATCTAATAGCCAGTTGATTATTCTAGTAGAAATCATCTGAGTCTCTGAACTAAATTAAACATTACTTTAATTATAATAAAGTGTTGTAACAAGCAATGTATTTCTTCAAGGACAGGAAATTTGTTCTTTTGTTAATATGTTTATTTCCCCTTAAAACTGGTAATAGGCAGGGTGATTTTTGTCAGGGTTGGAAGGAAAACTATAGATGTTATCATCCCTGAGATTAAAGGATGGGGTATGATTGCTTGAAGTATTGTGCTATGAGTATGTTAACTGTATTTCTATGATCTCACCTTTGACAGGAAGCTAAACAATAAAACAAACAAGCAAACAGAATAAAAACAAAGACACTGAAATAGAGAACAAAGGGGCAGCGACCAGAGGGGAGAGAGAAGGGAATTTAAGGGGAAAAATGGGGAGGGATTTTGAGGAACAAGTATGAAAGACACAGGGATGAGGACTGGGGGGGGGGATGGGAGAGAGGGGGGAGACAGGGCGGGGGACGCTGGGATGGGAGAAATAGACAAAAAACTGTACTTGAAAAATAACTAAATAAAATTTTTAAAAAATTAAAAAAATAAAAAATTCTGGCACAATGAACTTAAGAAAGAGTGTTTGCTGCAAATTATGGGTTTATGTTTGGTAATAGGGAAGGCTAAGAGACTTTTATTATATTGACTCTATTCTATTTAACTTTCCACTCTTCGACTAACTTTGAGATAAACCAAGAAGGAAATATAATCAGAATTTAAAAGACTTATGGCAAAAGATGTTTAAATTTCCTCATGAGAGCAACTGGAAAAGATTTGACCTTAGAAGTAGATGTGGAGGATAAATGGTCTCCCACAGATTATACCCGCATCTCCTGGGGCCATGAAGATAAGTGCTCTGATTCCTCAGAGCATATAAAGCAGCCACCTGAGGCTCTACTAGCCACACTTTGGAGAAGATGCTTTAAAACATTGGGGAGATCAATTAAGTGTTCTATTTCCTTCACAAGAAGGGTTCAGACAGAAAAAGTATTCCTTAAGATTACAATTTGCTGGAAAACAAAGAACTCTGGGAAGATGCTTCCTTCATTAATAACCTAACAAACTTTAAAAAACAAAGCCATAGGATCTGATTCTTCAGGCAAGAACCCAAGAACTCTGATCCTGACACTTAACAACCAAGCTTTGGTACATGTGAGTATGCAGAAACATCCAGAAATATAGAAAGAGGGCATTAGGAAACTTTTCTATCAGCTTTCTAGAGAGAGAAGATGGGGGGGATGAAGAATCTTTATATCTCATAGCGCTCAATGAGTGTTCATATCTGAGCCTCAGGTTGTAACACTTGGAAAGAGATTTCAGCATGAACACATAAGACCTGCTGTGCCCTGCAGTATGAATATAGTTGGCCCTCCCATATGTCTCCTGTACTTGTGAAGGGATAAACAAAGAGGCACCTCCTATTCTATAAGACATTTAAATGAGGCAGAGAGAGGTGATAACTGTAACTGTTTGAAATTATTAACTATGAATTCTTTCTCTTGGCTCTATCCTCAAGCTTCATAACCTCTTTCATTTCCTGTGGTCTTTTTTCACCTTTTTTTCCTTTTCCATAAAAGTCCTTCTTGCAAACCAAGAGAAGTTCCTACTTGAAGATATGGATTTCCCACAGCATGAAGTACAGGTATATCTGGATAGAATTCTTGGGAATAGGCAGGAGGAAACTTAGTTGAAGTTTTTTGGCAAAATAGAATTGATTGTTTCTACTTTGGGTAGTGTTCTCTGTAGTAATTTACTACTTGTACCACATACTCTTTTACAAGAAGAAATTCTTCACAAAATTTCAGTAGAGTTTAGGTTGATGATCATTTCTGACAGGTCAGAGAGGTAAGGAGAATGAAGCAGTACTTAGAGAACATAAAAAGACGAAGAGCAATGTAGGATTATTTTTGCATCTACTGACCAAAGAATAAACATCACTCAAATTTCCAATAAGCACTAAACTTTGGTTTATGTCTTTCACACTTGGGAACAGAGTACAGAGAACTAGAAGTGATTCTGTCAATTTTCCATTCCTTAGAGTCAGGCTAAAAGTGCTGAATCGTTGCCTCATGCCTGGATGTCAGGCACTTCAGCACTGCTGAACACTTGCAGCTGGATCACTTCTGTACAGATGCAGGATAACTTCAAAAACTGTATTTTAAGTTTTGAAAGCCTTTAATTTAAGGGCGGAACAACTAGAAGAAACTGTTCTGCTATGTGATAAAAAAAAAAGTAAGACATGCATTTGCTTCAATTCAGCCATATTCATGGATGACTCCTGATTTCCTCCCAAGTAAATACCCATTTCCCTCAGACTTTCCCTTTTGAGTAAATGGCTTACCCATTCTCTCATTTGCCCAAAACAGAAATTTAGAGTGAATCTCATTGATTATTTCCTTCATTCCTATTTCCAATGTGTCAGCAAGCCTTGGAACTACATAATCTATCCATTTCTGTTTAAATTATCCTCATTTCCACTGCTACCGTCCTAATCACGTAACCATAACCCCTCACTGGGAGCATTACAATAACTTCCTAACTACTCCCCTTTCTTTTACAGTGCTAGATTATCACTCTTTACATGGCAGTCCAAGTGGTGATTCAAAAATGCATTTCATAATGCCATCATTATCTCCTCTATGGTGATTTTAAAATTCTTCAATGTCTTCTCATCACATTGGTAGTAAAAACAAAGTTCCTCATGTTATCTTTTAGACCTATGAAACCACTGCCTGGTCTCACATTATTTATTGTCCTACTATCTGCTCCCTGAGCTCCCAACATGCTAATTTTCCCCTATCAATGAAATAATTTTTTCCTAGGTCTTCATATGGCCAGTTCTTTGTTTTTAGGTTTCATGTCAAATGTCAACTTCTCAAAGATGCAGTCCCAGATCACCCAAACTACTATAGTAAACTGTATGCAATATGACCCCAATCAATCTCCATTAAATAGTGCTGTTTTATTTTAAATTTGCACTTGTATTTACCTAAGTTTTTTAAATTGATTTTCTAACTTAAATTAGGGCTGAAAAAAATCAGGGACTTTTTCTCATCAGTTAATTCCAGGCTTAAAATGTTATGCCTATTACAGTAGGTAAATTCATGTATATGTGTGTAATTGTGCAAACATATCTATATGAATATACATGTATATATACATGTATAGACACATGTACATGTTAATGTGTATACATGCAATGTGCATGATGGAAGTATAAATGTAGTATTTGTGTGTATATATATATATATATATATATATATATATATATTCAGATGTTAGGTACTTTGCTAGGTGTTGAGCAAGTCAAATAAACTGTGGTTTTTATATGCAAGAAATCCATAATCTAGCAGCAGAAGAGATGTTAAAACCTTCTTAAATGCTTCTTTCTACTAACAGATAACTTTCTATTTAAGTGGCAACAGAGCTCTCATTTAGTATTGCATAGGACAAATTCAGAAGCTTGTGACTGGATATAAAAAGAAGGAGATCAAAAAGAAGGTGCTTAATACAAACCAAAACTCAAAAGGAAGAAATCAGGTTCTGGGGAGTTACTGTAGTGGGCCTACAAAAATAATGAGGAAAGAGAAAGGAACTCCATAGAAATAATAGATGATAAAATTTTCAAATTGAAGGAGAAACTATTATGAGCTATGTCCATGGCTGGCCTAAGCATTTATTTTATCCCAATTGTCTGTGATCACCTACCTTCCAATTATTCTGGGTAATGTAGTGAGTACTAAGTAGTTCTGCCATGTTCAGGAACAAACTAATACACACTTACTTAATGGAAAACACTTTTTGTTTTGTTTTCTCATCACTAATTTATGCAACTTAAAAGCAAAGCATCTTTTTAAAAATATGTATCTTCTTAGCAATAGTTGTAGTAACCCAGCTTCTCTTCCCACACTTTCCTGCTAGACTCCTGAATCTGTTGCTGAGAAGCCAGAGAAATCATGCATATGCAGGATAATGTGTGTTAGGAATCACTACTGTGAAGTCAATTACAGCTTTGGGCAGTAGATTTGAGTCAGGTAAGTGTTAGTAGGTTCCTTGAAATTCCTCATGTATTAGATTCTTCTGGGAAATCTGCATAGTTGATGGAAACAGTTTCTAAGTTATAGTATGCATAAATTTTTTTGGTGGAGATTGTTAAAATGCAGATGATGATATGAAACTCCAAAAATTTGAGTAGGTCAGGGATGGTCCCTGGGATATACAATTAAGAACACAAAAGATGTGTTCTTAAAATAAAATAGACTGTCCTAAGAATATGCTTTGAGAAACAATGCCTTATATTGATGTTATTATTACCTTTAAGTAAGAATTCTGAGAAGATATAGTTGGAGCGCTACCTTGAACATAGAGCTACATTTCTGTGGTAATAACTGAGAAAAAAAAGGACATTTCTCCTGGGTCAACCCAACATGTGGCCCAACAGCAGCTCCAGCTTCTTTCTGCTGACTGGTTTTCCAGGCTTGGAGGCAGCTCACCACTGGATTTCCACACCCTTCATTTTTGTCTACATCTCTGTCATTTTGGGCAATGGCACTCTCCTCCTTCTCATTAAAGCAGACCACAGTCTTCATGAGCCTATGTACTACTTCCTGGCCATGCTGGCAGCCACAGACCTAGGGCTGACTTTAACCACAATGCCCACAGTACTGGAAGTCCTTTGGTTGGACCACAGGGAAATTGGAAATGCAGCCTGTTTTTCTCAAGCCTACTTTATACATTCACTTTCCTTTGTAGAGTCTGGTGTTTTGCTTGCTATGTCTTATGATCGTTTTATTGCCATTTGCAACCCTCTTAGATATAACTCTATACTTACTAATACTCGAGTGGTGAAAATTGGGCTAGGGGTTCTGATGAGGGGATTTGTATCTGTTGTTCCCCCAATATCACCCCTCTATTTTTTTCCATATTGCCATTCCCATGTCCTTTCCCATGCATTCTGCCTTCATCAGGATGTCATCAAACTGGCCTGTGCTGACATCAGCTTCAATCGAATATATCCTGTTGTGCTTGTGGTCCTTATATTTGTGCTGGATTCTCTGATTATCCTCATCTCCTATGTGTGGATACTCAAAAATGTCCTGAGCATTGCTTCCAAAGAGGAGCGGGCCAAGGCCCTCAACACCTGTGTCTCCCATATCTGTTGTGTCTTGGTTTTCTATGTCACAGTGATTGGATTGTCTCTAATTCATCGATTTGGGAAGAAGGTTCCACATATTGTGCACCTCATTATGAGCTATGTGTATTTTCTCTTTCCTCCACTAATGAACCCCATAATCTATAGTGTCAAGACCAAACAGATCCAGAGTGGAATTCTTCACCTTTTTACTACCCATAGAGCTAGAGCCTGAACTCTGACCATCATAGCCCCTCACACAAAATGTGGGAACTCTGGTTTGTGGGAGGGGAGTAAGGAAGTTTTATATAAACCACCAACGGTCATATTTCTGCTAACATAATTGTCAAAGTGGAGCTAAAAATTATTCCAAAGTAGCTGTTTAAGCCCAGGTCTTTGAACTAAAGTAGTTTGTACAACAACAAAAAAAATTCTGTATACTAAATATCTCTGCCTGTTTGTCACTCGATTCTTGTGATAAGGATACTTTAAGTGTTAATAAGTGTGTCTATAATGTAACTAACATGTATTTCTTTGGAGTTAACAGAGTGGCAGGTAAGAATAGAGTTATATAAAATTATGAGTTGGTTTTGGTGAAATAAAGTTTGGTATAAATACATACCCACTCCAATGTCTAATTGCCACAGATTCCCCCACAGATATCCATAGAAACTGTGGGGACCTATGTTTGGTAACTGAAGGTCAGATTGTTCTTTGAAAAAAGTATGAATTTTTCCTTAAATGATGTTGTAAGTACTTGTCATCTCAACATTCTGATTGATTCCTTCTCCCTTCATCAAATTGATCATGACTTTGTTCTAAGACTTATGAGCTTGTTTATTCCCCAAGGCAAAACCTACTGATGAGAAAATATATGATTAGAAAAACTGTGAATAAATAAGAAGAAATAGATATGGTCAGTACCTTCTTCCATTTTTGTCCTCATTACTATCCTACCATGTGAGTCTTTAGCTCTGATGTTGGTGCCATCTCCAGAGCATCTACCAGAAGCTATCTAGTCTGCGTGAGTGGAAGAGGTAGTCTCTTTTTCTTTCTTCTGCTATGAATGAGGCCTAAGGGACTGATGAAATAGGCTTTCATATATTCTGGGCAAAAATTGCCACTTTGTATATGCATTCTGACTTCATTTTATAAAATGTGAATGTCCCAAGAAATAAAATAATATTATTTTTATTTGATTGAAATTTTATGATCACTTAGGAAGGAACCTGTGACTGAAGATAAAATACCCTCAAAAAGTGGAGTCTATGTCCCCCTTACATCTAAATCAGAGCAGGGAAAGAACCATATGAGCCAAGAGATCAAACTATATAGGAGATGCTATTGATGTCATCGGTGCCTTGTCCAGATCATTTACAGAACTGTACATCTACCCTTTGTGCCTATGAGTATTGGCTGTTCATTGCTCACATTTGCAGCTTTCTTTAAATTATTTATTCTCAACCTGATTGGAATTGCTTCATGAAGATTGTGGCCCCTGGTCCCAAGAAACAAGGCTGTAGCCATGCACTGACCATCTTGCCTTCTAAAATTCAACTCCAGGTTAGGTTATCTTTTTGCTTTTGTCCTCTTTGTCTCCTCTGCTTTTCCCAATTTCTTGCTGTATTCATGAATAAATTACATGCATCTGAATTCATGTCTCAGGCTTTGCTTATAGGGAGTCCAACAAAAGAACCTTATAACTCTCATTTCTTTGCTATTTTATCAATAAATTTCATTGTGAAAAGTCAATGGTTATATAAAAAGAGTAACTATTATTTTACCCATTTTTATTCTTTTATTCTCTATGACATCTAAGTAACAGTCTGAATACTACACACTGAATATGAGTATGAGTGTGATGGTAAGTTATATCCTGTTTTCAGCTGTCTATAAAATTCAACATGTGTCCTTCAACTTCTACTCCACCCACCCTTTATTTTATTCATGTTAATGTCGTGAGGTAGACATTATTATCATCAGTTTATACATGGGAAATGTAGAGGCAAATATTTAAATAGTTTTTTCAAGGACATAAAGTTTATAAAGAGCACAGCTGTGATTCAAATTAATTTTTTAATTCTAAGGCCAGTGTAAATTGTATACCACTGAAATCGTCTATCTTTAATGGACTATATTTTCTGCCTGCAATTCACTATGCTTATAGAAACAGTAACTACTTCCTTGTTTTCAGAATGTCTCTTTCTTCTACTATGGATATGATGATATTTATAGGAGTTGACATTTTCCATTATATCTTTAAATCCCTAGTGCCTGTCAAGTAAAGCCAGTCAGAATCTTCTTCAGGATTTTTCAAAATGAAATCATGAAAACAGTTAATGCTTTCATTGTGGCAGAAGAAATGAAATGAAGTCCTTAGAATTGTTAATAATCATGTTTTTCATCAGATGAGTCATCTCATGCTATAAGTATGTAAATTATAAATAAGAAAATGAAAAATCTCCAAGGAACATGAAGTCCTTGGTTCCATGATTTTAAGAAGGTCAATGGCAAGGAGGGCAATTCAATTTTCTCTGATTTCATAGTCCAATAAACTCCTCCCTTGTTATTTTGTTTATACTATTTCAGTTTGTTTAAACTATTTCAGTGACTATTTTAGTCACTTATAGTCAAAGTACCACTAATAAGTATACCATCTTAGTTAATAGATATGTGAATCTACTCCAACTAATATTTAAAAACTGCAAAGCGCTATTAGATAGTCAGCTGCCCATTTCCCCAAAATAAAGAAGATGAAAACTAAAGTATGGGAAGAAAACAAGTCTGGCTGACCATTTGGTCAATGATTTATGAAGCGATTTGCCCTTGTTTGAGAAATCCATTTTTACTTGAGAATAATTGAGGAAACAAATTCATTGAGAAGAGGCCGTAGGGTAAAAACAGAAACAAAACAACTGGGGAGAGATTAGAGGAGAACCTCTATCTACAGAGAACAGCTAGAAATAGCTGAACCTAGACAATTATTTCTCTTCAAAATCCATTTCATCAGTCAACACAAGCACACGATTTCCTTGGGTGCATGTTACTATCATCAGAAAATTTAGTTTTCTATAGATCTCATATAGGTCTCTCTGTGATTAAATGCTAGGTATTGTTAGCAACCTATTTGCAATAGCATTTCCAATAACCACTAACAGACATGTTTTGTATGTATAAGTAGGGTAGATTTCAGAGCAGTCCACTGGACCAACATACCAACACATTAGTGAGTCTCCTTCATACAGAAAAATCTGGTGAAGTCTGTAATTTAGCTTATAATCACTGAGGTCAAAAAAGAACTTGCATGAAAAAGTGATAAATTCACTGATGGGCTATTGATATGAATAAATAGCATGTAGTTATAGAAGATCTATTGTATAGAAGAATTTACACTAGGGTAAAAAAGTCTTTACAAGTTATCAGTCTCTCTTTTCCAAAGAATGTTATAATTATATAGCATGAGCTTGAAAGGATAACTTCCATAAGGTTATTGAGTTTGAGTTAGAAAATGAAAGGTTGAGTGTGCTTTTCTGTGAGTAGAAAAATCTTTAAAAAGATCAGGGAAAGAATGAGAAATATTAGAGATGCTTTGAGAAGCCATGGTGTGATTAAATAAATCAGCAGGTTATTTCTCCTCCAAATACAAAATGAATTTATTCTAGGTGGAAAGCAAATGAGTTTCATTCAGTTAATTAGCAGATAATTGCTGGGTTCTGTCTCAGGAACACAGACTTTTATAGAGCAAATTAATGGTGATGTATTTAATGATACTTATGAAACATTAAATTAGATTCTCAGAGTGAATAAAATGTACAAAGGGCCCAGGGGTCTCTCTCTGCAATTATAGAATGCAAATCCATTTTTACTTTGTGGTTTAAATCCTGAGACAGTATCATTGCTATGAATAAGCTCAAAAAATCATTACACAAAAAATCACAAAAAATCATTTTTACAGGATATTTAGGAGTTTATATCCTGAGACAGTAGTGCTTGTCATCAACCTGACAGGCAGCAGTGGCAATGGATAGTGAGGAAGCACCATAAAAATAGGTAAGATGAGGTGAACCCTCCAGAGGAAAAAATTTAAATGGTGGTGTCTTCACAGACTAGCGTGAAATGCTGAAGGTTGACATACTAAAATCAAACTCCATAGAAAAAATAGAGCCTGTTAAATGTCAATGCAGGCTTGCTCAAAAAATAGCAAAATCTCTAGGTTAAAGACCTTCCTGAATCATTACGAAAGGTATTTAGATACTTGACTGTTATCTTGATCTACATCATATGTAATAAGAAATAGAAATGGAGCCCTGGCTGGTGTAGCTCAGTGGCTTGAGTGTGGGCCTGCGAACCAGACAATCGCGGTTCAATTCCCAGTCAGGGCACATGCCTGAGTTGCAAGCTGGTTCCCTGCAAGCCGGGCCCAGCAGGGGATGCACGAAGGGCAACCATACATTGGTGTTTCTCTTCCTCTCTCCTTCCCTTCCCCTCTGAAGATAAATAAATAAAATCTTTTTTAAAAAGTGCCATTTTATATTCTTAAAAAATAAAAAAATAAAAAATAAATAGAAATGGGATTTAAGCTGTGTGGCACCGGATCCAGATCCAGAGCCAAGGATTGGTAAGTCCTGAGAAAATATTTTAACTAAAAAAAAGATATTTTTAATAATGTGACTATGCAAATATCTTTTAAACATGTAGTCTCATTAAGATTGAGCTCTGGCCCTAAAGGAGATAGGCATTGACTGGATGACTCTTCTCAGGAAACACTGAATCAAAGGCTTCCATTACACGAGGTGGGAAGTCCTTCCAAATCTGAGAGCTAATGTCACAGTGATTCTATATTTTACAGGCAGTGCAGCAGGAAAGATGAAGGAAGTGAATATGGTTTTGGAGATGTGTTCATGACACAGCCATATGTAAGTGGCTGCTTCCTGAAAAGATAGACACTGTTGGTACTTTGCCCACTTCCTCCAAAGGCCCCAAACCTGTTGGTTTTGAGTGTTGATCAGTAATGACTGTTACCAAAAAGCTGTTGCTTTTTCTGTTCTCTAGAGTCTTGTCCTCTTGGCCTCACAAGAAAGTTATTCTAACCTTGGGGCATTGTGCAAATGACTTTCCATTTTTTCTAGGGAAAGTAGTGTTGCCAAGAATGGTGTTGTACATAAGGGATAGGACAGTTATGTAGGTGAGAGGCTAAATCTGCTTTCTGATATATGAGAGGACATCTTGGAAAATTTGTAGATTA